GGAAACAAGGGCTCTCAACTGGGTGCTGTGGCTTTCTACCTCCCGAGACCTGTAACTAGGGGTGTCTGGCCCCCAACGCTGCCTGCCCATCAACTCCTAGGTCAGTGGTGGCAACCTAGGGCACGCTCGCCTCTGCTGCTTGTTTGTATCGTGTCATTGAAGGCTCTAAAAGGTTCGCCATCACTGTCCTAGGTGTGGGGCTCTGGGATGCAGCTGAAGCCAAGGAAAGGGTGGACCTTGGTGCTAATATGCTCATGATAATCCCATGAAGGAAGTATTACTATTGTTCCCATTTTTCAGATGCAGAAACCGAGGCTTACCAGTAGGTAATCTGTTTGAGGGTCGCTAATATCTCAACCCAGTAATGTGCAGCACTTCGGATTTCAACCCAACTATGTGCTATGCTGCCCTCAGCTGTACGACTGTGAGGGCCACGGCTTCCACACGTTTCAGAAGGTCCACGGCAGCACATTGCACTGCTTGACCTGGTCAGAGGGTGCAGACAAACCCTCCTGAGGATGTGGCCTCGAGGATGGGGAGGAAGGGAGGTGGGGCCGAGGGCAGGGGCGAGAGGAGCCCCCAGCTGTGGCCACACCCGGGCTGGCGTGCTGCTGGTGCAGTGGTCGCCCCAGAGGTTTTGGTCCTGACTTGTTGGGCTCCAGGTAGAAACACTAGGACAGGACAGCGAGGAGGTGGATGAACGCTTCCTGCTTCCTGCCTTGTAAGGCTGCCTCACAAGGTATCTTCTCCTCCCACCTAGACACTCTTGGCCAGAGCGCTGTACAACAACCACCCTGACTGTTCGGACGAGCTGGCCTTCTCCCGAGGCGACATCCTGACCATCCTGGAGCAAAACGTGCCGGAGAGCGAGGGCTGGTGGACCTGCCTGCTTCATGGCCGGCGAGGCCTGGCCCCGGCCAACCGCCTGCAGGTCCTCACGGAGGTCCCTGCGGACACAAGCGGTGCCCCTCTCAGCCGCTCCCCCAACAGCTCGGAGGGTGCCTACCAGGTGCCCACACCCGTAGGGTCCGTGTACGAGCCCATGAAGAGCTGGGTGGAGCAGTCCCCGCCACCAGCGGCCCAAGTCTACGAACTCCCTGATCCGCCCTCCCGAGCCCGAATCGTCTGCGAGAAGACGCTGACCTTTCCAAAGCAGGTAGGTGACCTCCAAAGGCAGGGAAACGCTGACGGCTGAGTCCACCTGTGCGTGAGGCCGAGGGTGTGTGTGTGGGGGGACGGACGGGGTAGCTTGTAAGTGCTGGTGATCCCAGGGAGCTACTGTGCAATTATTTAAGACAAGATGAAGTATTTATAGGGGAAAGAATCACCAAGCGAAAGATCAAATGAACAAAACTTCGAAAAGCGCCTCCCGCGTGCATGAGGGCTCAGCTCGCTGGAGCCCACACAGGTGCGGCTGCAGCAGGACATCAAGAACAGACACAGTAGGAAGTGGATTTCTGCCTTCCAGGCAACCAGGGTGGAATATGTCATTTATCTAATATCAGTTTTTTATAAAACAGAAAAAAAAAAGAGTTCTCTTTAGGTAGAATAGAAATTTTTTAATATAAAAATAAGAAAAGGAATTAAAAGAAGGAAGGAATAACACACCACTCCCCCAGCCTTGGTGCCTGCGAGGTGCTGGGGAAGCGGCACAGCAGGCTGTGGTCCCCGCGGGCCTTTCAGCCACCGCATGCCCTGACTGCAGCTGAGGACACAGCCCAGCTGGCCCTGGCAGAGGTCTCGGTGTGCTCTGTGTCCAGGGGACAGCTGCTGCCCCTATGGATGAGGTGGGATTTAAAAATACAGTGGATATTTAAACTTCTAAAAATTCATTGCAGTAAAAGGTGCATTGCCGTTTGTCCTCTCAAAATACTCCCTCTTGCTTCGAAGATACTCGTCCTACCCTGCTTGCCACTTTCTGGAACAGTTCTAGAGGTTCTCTTTTGTATCTTTACAAAGTATGATTTAAAAAAAAAAACCATGGTGACTGCCACCACGGCTGCTTGCCGTCCACTGGAAAGCAGGCGCTTCAAACGCTGCAAGGCGTTATCCAGCGTGTTTCCCAGATGTGGCGCCACGCTCCTTCCAGCTCTTCCCCACAGTCAAAATAACTATGAAACACACATATTTCCAACCCACCCAGGACATGGAGGCAGCCACAGTGATGCAACAGAAGCCACTTGAGAAGGAGGACTTCGCAGTTGCTTTGGAAAGTGGCAAGAATGCTGGATGCTGGGACGGGTGGGTTGGAAGAGAAGGGAGGATTTTTAATGTATTTGGTACAGGTCTTACTATGCAGCTCACACTTGTAGTGATCCTCCTGTTTTCAACCTCCCTGGCACTGGGATTACAGGCAGGCACCACCACTCCCAGGCTCAGTGGCCTGCTCAGCGCGCCCGGGGGTAGGGCCATTGCTGCCTGTGGTGCCGAGGATTGAACCACGGTCCCTGCACTTGCCTAAGCAGGCGCTTAGTCCATTGAGCTATCTCACCAGCCCCGAAGGGAGAATTCTGAGGGAAATTCACGGCAGCGTGTCTTACACTGTAGTACATTTTTTAAAATATAAAACATTCATCCTCTTTTTCAATCAAGTCTCACCCCTGCAGCAGGTGCCCAGGAGTGAGTTGAAAGGTGTTGATTCCTTCAGCCAGATTTTGAGCTGCTCTGATTTTCTAGCTCCCTGGGCTGAGAATCAGCTGTTGCACAGAATAGCTGCCACACGCAGGCGGTGGCTCCAGGCCCCAGAAGGACGCTGGCTGAGCCTTGAGAAGCAGTGCATGGGGTGCTGCCACCACGTTCTTCTGGGCCAGCCAGCCTGCTCTCCACCTGGCATCGCTGCCTCTGTCTGAGCAGCCGGCTCTGTGCAGGGCCTTGGTGGTGTTTCTTCTAAGAACAACTGCTATGTGCATAAGTTCCCTGGAAATCCGTGGCCATTTCCACCTTTCTCTAAAGGGGAAGCAGATCCAGGCCATGCATCCCTCGTGCTCGGCACAGCACCAGGCTCCAGGTGTGCTGGCTAAAATTTAGTTGAGTGAATGAAGTGAGCCGAGCTGACACAAGGCTTTGGAAACTCAGACTTCATTGCAGGTGCTGGCTGGGAGACTAGGAGGACGAGTCCACCTCTGAGCGTAATGCGCAAGACTGAGCTGGTCTGCGGGACACAGCAAGGCAGCCTGGGAAGCCTCACTCAGGCCCCTGCCCCCTGCGGCAGCCAAGAGGAAGCACAGCTTCCAAAGGGGAATCCAGGGCTCCTGGCTGAGGTGACCACTGAGGGGCAGGACACAGGAAAACACCTGGGGAACTTTCCTGCCTTGTTTTCCTTTGTAAAGTTCCCTCTTTGTCTACCCGAGCTACATTTTTGCCTTTTTTTTCTTCCTTCCTTCCTTCCTTCCTTTATTCTTTTTCTGCCTGTCTTTCTTTCCTTTCTCTTCATTGAGGGTCCAGTGTTGTGGTTTCCATGGCTTTTGGAAGAAGCCACTGTCACTCTGGTGCATCCTGACACCCTCAGTGTATCTCTGTCCTCTTTTCTGCTGGGAGGTTAGGCAGATCATTTCTAGGATCACCTCCCAGTGCCCCTCATGGTGATCCTAAATAACCTCACATCTCGCCCAGCTTTAACAAGGAGGGAGCTCGATTCAGCAGAATAGCCAATCATCAGCTAGGAATGTCTTGGCCACAGGAAAGGCAGGTGTCTCCTACCTGCTTAATCCCGAGTCCAACACCACCCAGGAAATACAGCCCAGCACCCGTCACACCAGTAGAACCAGAGAAGTCCCCGCTTTGACCTGCTTTCCAGTGGCAAGTTTGCAGCCTGGGCCACCATGAGGTGACTCTTCATAGCATCCTTTTGTACTTGATCATCTCTAGATTCAGAGTGACTCCAAATTAAAAACCAAGAGAGTGGGAATGTGTGGCTTTTCTCAAGTGGTCCTAAGAGAGGCATCTATGTGGCAGATGTCACTAGAGCTGGAAATGACCTCTGTGTACCTATGCATTAGAACAATTTTCCATTTTTCAGATGGGAAAATGGGCCCCGGGGTGGGAAGCTACCCACCCAGGCACGTGCAACTACAGCCACAGTACCGGGACTAAAGCTCGCAGCTTGTGTCTGTGTCCATCCATCTGCCTTGCCCCAGAGACAGAGCCCTCGGCTGCCCACCTCGGGCCACCTCTCCTCTGCTTTCACTTTGCTGTGGCCTAACTGATTCTTTCCACTGAGTTTTCAGCTGATGTCTCACCTTCCAATGCCAAGGGTCCAGCTCGGCTTGCAGATCAGTCAAAAAGCAGGAACGAGTTGGGGCTGTAGGTGAGCAGTAGAGGCTTGCCTAGGACGTGGAAAGCCCTAGAACCACAAATAAAAAAATGAATAAAACCAGCCCCCGCTCGCACCCCACGCCCTATGCCTCCTCTGCCCTACTTCCCCCCTGGGTGACCACCATCCTGAGCTT